AAATGCAAATTTAACTTGAGACACTTGGAGTATTAACATAAAAAAACGATTTAGTTTGTGAAGTAACACCTGTGATAGACCGCAAAAGTATCACTGACTTTAATTGAGAATGGGTTAGACTATTAATATCAAGCATTATCGAAATTTGAATCTCTCTTATTTTTTGCGTTTTCAAGTAGAGAGCCCAACTCTTGATCAACTGCTTTCATTTTCAAAGAGAATATTAGGAATTAATTACGATGTTTCATTTTGCAAACAGTCGGGATCCTCTTCTTGGTAATTTTTGATCATTGAATGTATACAAGTTTCTCAGTGCATTGACTGTCTGGCAATAAGCGTCGCTACAGTTGTTTGTAACTGTCCGTGCATCTTTAACGCAGATGACTCTTACTACACAGTCGTATTTAGCATCGTTGCCTAACCGATGAAGTGTCGTGCAAGCATCTTTAACAAGAGTTATAAGAATTACATTAAAGGGTTTTAAATATTTAAAATTTATAGCCCTATGAACGTGAAAGTGTAGAAGTTACTAATGATTCTTCTGAATTTCTGGCATTAACAGAGTACATTTTAATGATGATGAAATGAATTTTCTTTTTCACAGAAAATAGGATGACAACGAATGTCAGGACAGATCTTTCACTTTATTCCAAGTTATTTTTCACAAAATCAGCCAAGAAATAATCAAGGAGTAAAAACAGAAATAACAACAATAAGAAAAAAGTAATGCATTTATTGCGAGAAAATATGTTTAATATTGCAAAATAATTAAACCTAATAGAATAAAAATTCTATTTTGTTTAAAATCTTTACAATATTATAAAAGGGCATTTTAGTTTTGCCTCTTCCTTCCTCTACCTCGTTCCCTTTCCCTTCATAGAAACAGCTAGCTACTATGGTCCATTTCTTCCTCTACCTCGTTCCCTTTCCCTTCATAGAAACAGCTAGCTACTATGATACATTTCTTCTTCTACCTCGTTCCCTTTCCTTTCATAGAAACAGCTAGCTACTATGGTACATTTCTTCCTCTACCTCGTACCCTTTCCTTTCATAGAAACAGCTAGCTACTAATGTACATTTCTTCTACCTCGTTCCCTTTCCTTTCATAGAAATAGCTAGCTACTATGGTACATTTCTTCCTCTACCTCGTTCCCTTTCCCTTCATAGAAACAGCTAGCTACTATGATACATATCTTCCTCTACCTCGTTCCCTTTCCTTTCATAGAAACAGCTAGCTACTATGGTACATTTCTTCTTCTACCTCGTTCCCTTTCCCTTCATAGAAATAGCTAGCTACTATGGAACATTTCTTCCTCTACCTCGTTCCCCTTCCTTTCATAGAAACAGCTAGCTACTATGGTACATTTCTTCTTCTACCTTGTACACTTTCCTTTCATAGAAACAGCTAGCTACTAATGTACATTTCTTCTACCCCGTTCCCTTTCCTTTCATAGAAATAGCTAGCTACTATGGTACATTTCTTCCTCTACCTCGTTCCCTTTCCCTTCATAGAAACAGATAGCTACTATGGTACATTTCTTCCTCTACCTCGTTCCCTTTCCCTTCATAGAAACAGTTAGCTACTATGATATATTTCTTCCTCTACCTCGTTCACTTTCCTTTCATAGAAACAGCTAGCTACTAATATATATTTCTTCTACCTCGTTCCCTTTCCTTTCATAGAAATAGCTAGCTACTATGATACATATCTTCCTCTACCTCGTTCCTTTTCCCTTCATAGAAACAGCAACCTACTATGGTACACTTCTTCCTCTACCTCGTTCCCTTACCCTTCATAGAAACAGCTAGCTACTATGATACATTTCTTCCTCTACCTCGTTCCCTTTACTTTCATAGAAACAGCTACCTACTAATGTACATTTCTTCTACCTCGTTCCCTTTCCTTTCATAGAAATAGCTAGCTACTATGGTACATTACTTCCTCTACCTCGTTCCCTTTCCCTTCATAGAAATAGCTAGCTACTATGGTACATTTCTTCCTTTCCCTTTCCTTCATAGAAACAGCTAGCTACTATGGTACATTTCTTCCTCTACCTCGTAACCTTTCCTTCATAGAAACAGCTAGCTACTATGGTACATTTCTTCCTCCTCTACCTCGTAACATTTTCTTTCATAGAAAAGCTAGATACTAATGTACATTTCTTCTACCTCGTTCCATTTCGTTTCATAGAAATAGCTAGATACTATGATACATTTCTTCCTCTACCTTTCCCTTTTCCTTTCATAGCTAAACAGTACATTTCTTCCTCTAGTTCCTTTTCCCTTCATAGAAACTAATGATACATTACTTCTCTACCTCTTTCCCTTTCCTTTCATAGAAACAGCTAGCTACTATGGTACATTTTTTCCTCTACCTCGTAACCTTTCCTTTCATAGAAACAGCTAGCTACTAATGTAAATTTCTTCTACCTCGTTCCCTTTCCTTTCATAGAAATAGCTAGCTACTATGGTACATTTCTTCCTCTACCTAGTTCCCTTTCCCTTCAGAGAAACAGCTAGCTACTATGATACATTTCTTCATATATCTCGTTCCCTTTCCTTTCATAGAAACAGCAAGCTACTATGGTACATTTCTTCCTCTACCTCGTACCCTTTTCCTTAATAGAAACAGCTAGCTACTAATGTATATTTCTTCTACCTCGTTCCCTTTCCTTTCATAGAAACAGCTAGCTACTATGGTACATATCTTCCTTTACCTAATTCCCTTTCCCTTCATAGAAACAGCTCGCTAATAAAGTACATTTCTTCCTCTACCGCGTTCACTTTCCCTTCATAGAAATAGCTAGCTACTATGGTACATTTCTTCCTCTACCTCGTTCCCTTTCCCTTCATAGAAATAGCTAGTTACTATGGTACATATCTTCCTCTACCTCGTTCCCTTTCCCTTCATAGAAACAGCTAGCTACTATGGTACATTTCTTCCTCTACCTCGTTCCCTTTCCCTTCATAGAAACAGCTAGCTATAGTACATTTCTTCCTCTATTCCCTTACCTTTCTTCTTCTAATGTCCTCTACCTCGTTCCATTTCCTTTCATAGAAATAGCTAGATACTATGATACATTTCTTCCTCTACCTCGTTCCCTTTCCTTTCATAGAAACAGCTAGCTACTATGGTACATTTCTTCCTCTACCTCGTTCCCTTTCCCTTCATAGAAACAGCTAGCTACTATGATACATTACTTCCTCTACCTCGTTCCCTTTCCTTTCATAGAAACAGCTAGCTACTATGGTACATTTCTTCCTCTACCTCGTACCCTTTCCTTTCATAGAAACAGCTAGCTACTAATGTACATTTCTTCTACCTCGTTCCCTTTCCTTTCATAGAAATAGCTAGATACTATGATACATTTCTTCCTCTACCTCGTTCCCTTTCCTTTCATAGAAACAGCTAGCTACTATATACATTTCCCTTTCCTTTCATAGAAACAGCTAGCTACTGATCCATTTCCTCTACCTCGTTCCCTTTCCTTTCAGAAACAGCTAGCTACTATGGTACATTTCTTCCTCTACCTCGTTCCCTTTCCCTTCATAGAAACAGCTAGCTACTATTGATACATTTCTTTCTACCTCGTTCCTTTCCTTTCATAGAAACAGCTATCTACTATGGTACATTTCTTCCTCTACCTCGTTCCCTTTCTTTCATAGAAACAGCTAGCTACTATAGTACATTTCTTTCTACCTCGTTCCTTTCCTTCTTTCAGCTAGCTAAACAGCTAGCTACATTTCTTATACCTCGAAACAGCTAGCTACTATGGTACATTTCTTCCTCTACCTCGTTCCCTTTCCCTTCATAGAAACAGCTAGCTACTAATGGTACATTTCTTTCCTCTACATTTCGTTTCTCGTTCCCTTTCCTTTCATAGAAACAGCTAGCTACTATGGTACATTTCTTCCTCTACCTCGTTCCCTTTCCTTTTTCCTTCATAGAAATAGAAATTCTAGCTACTAATATACATTTCTCTACCTCTTTCCCTTTCCTTTCATAGAAACAGCTAGCTACTATGGTACATTTCTTCCTCTACCTCGTTCCTTTTCCTTCATAGAAACAGCTAGCTACTATGGTACATTTCTTCTTCTACTCTCGTTCCTTCCCTTTCATAGAAATAGCTAGCTACTACTGGTACATTTCTTCCTCTACCTTTTCCTTTTCCTTCAGAGAAACAGCTAGCTACTAATGATACATTTCTTCTTTTCCCTTTCCTTTCATAGAAACAGCTAGCTACTATGGTACATTTCTTCCTCTACCTCGTTTCCCTTTTCCTTCATAGAAACAGCTAGCTACTATGATACATTTCTTTCTACCTGTTCCCTTTCCTTTCATAGAAACTAGCTAGCTACTATGGTACATTTCTTCCTCTACCTCGTTCCTTTCCTTTCATAGAAACAGCTAGCTACTATAGTACATTTCTTCCTCTACCTCGTTCCCTTTCCTTTCATAGAAACAGCTAGCTTCTATGGTACATTTCTTCCTCTACCTCGTTCCTTTTCCCTTCATAGAAACAGCTAGCTACTATGGTACATTTCTTCCCTCTACCTCGTTCCTTTCCCTTTCATAGAAACAGCTAGCTACTATGGTACATTTCTTCCTCTACCTCGTTCCTTTCCCTTCATAGAAACAGCTAGCTACTATGGTACATTTATTTCTACCCTCGTTCCTTTTCCCTTCATAGAAAACAGCTAGCTACTATGATACATTTCTTCTCTACCTCGTTCCTTTCCCTTTCATAGAAACAGCTAGCTACTATGGTACATTTCTTCCTCTACCTCGTTCTTTTTTTTCCTTTCATAGAAATAGCTAGCTACTATGGTACATTTCTTCCTCTACCTCGTTCCCTTTCCTTTCATAGAAAGAGCTAACTAATAGAAACAGCTAGCTACTAATGTACATTCTTCCTCTACCTCGTTCCTTTCCTTTCATAGAAATAGCTAGCTACTATGGATACATTTCTTCCTCTACCTCGTTCCCTTTCCCTTCATAGAAACAGCTAGCTTACTACCTGTTCCTTTCCCTTCCTAGAAACTACCTCGTTCCCTTTCCTCTTCTTCCTTTCCCCTTCATAGCTAGCTACTATGGTCCATTTCTTCCTCTACCTCGTTCCTTTACCTTCCCTTCATAGAAATAGCTAGCTACTATGGTACATTTCTTCCTCTACCTCGTTCCCTTTCCCTTCATAGAAACAGCTAGCTACTATGGTACATTTCTTCCTCTACCTCGTTCCCTTTCCTTCATAGAAACAGCTAGCTACTATGGTACATTTCTTCCTTCTACCTCGTTCCTTTCCTTTCATAGAAACAGCTAGCTACTATGGTACATTTCTTCCTCTACCTCGTTCTCTTTCCCTTCATAGAAACAGCTAGCTACTATGATACATTTCTTCCTCTACCTCGTTCCTTTCCCTTCATAGAAACAGCTAGCTACTATGGTACATTTCTTCCTCTACCTCGTTCCCTTCCTTTCATAGAAACAGCTAGCCCATTTCTTCCTCTACCTCGTTCCCTTTCCTTTCATAGAAACAGCTAGCTACTATGATACATTTCTTCCTCTACCTCGTTCCCTTTCCTTTTTTCATAGAAACAGCTAGCTACTATGATACATTTCTTCCTCTACCTCGTTCCTTTCCTTCATAGAAACAGCTAGCTACTATGGTACATTTCTTCCTCTACCCTTCATAGAAACGTTCCCTTTCCTTCATAGAAACAGATAGCTACTATGATACATTTCTTCCTCTACCTCGTTCCCTTTCCCTTCATAGAAACAGCTAGCTACTATGATATATTTCTTCCTCTACCTCGTTCCCTTTCCTTTCATAGAAACAGCTAGCTACTAATATATATTTCTTCTACCTCGTTCCCTTTCCTTTCATAGAAATAGCTAGCTACTATGATACATTTCTTCCTCTACCTCGTTCGTTCCCTTTCCCTTCATAGAAACAGCAACCTACTATGGTACATTTCTTCCTCTACCTCGTTCCCTTACCCTTCATAGAAACAGCTAGCTACTATGATACATTTCTTCCTCTACCTCGTTCCCTTTACTTTCATAGAAACAGCTATCTACTAATGTACATTTCTTCTACCTCGTTCCCTTTCCTTTCATAGAAATAGCTAGCTACTATGGTACATTACTTCCTCTACCTCTTTCCCTTTCCTTTCATAGAAACAGCTAGCTACTATGGTACATTTTTCCTCTACCTCGTTCCTTTCCTTTCATAGAAACAGCTAGCTACTAATGTACATTTCTTTCTACCTCGTTCCTTTTCCTTTCATATCAGAGAAACAGCTAGCTACTATGGTACATTTCTTCCTCTACCTAAGTTCCCTTTCCCTTCATAGAAACAGCTAGCTACTATGATACATTTCTTCCTCTACCTCGTTCCCTTTCCCTTTCATAGAAACAGCTAGCTACTATGGTACATTTCTTCCTCTACCTCGTTTCCCTTTCCTTCATAGAAACAGCTAGCTACTAATACATATCTTCCTCTACCTCGTTCCCTTTCCTTTCATAGAAAACAGCTAGCTACTCGTTCCCTTTCCTTTCATAAATAGTACATATCTTTCCTCTACCTCGTTCCTTTCCCTTCATAGAAATAGCTAGCTACTATTGTACATTTCTTCCTCTACCTCGTTCCTTTCCCTTCATAGAAACAGCTAGCTACTATGATACATTACTTCCTCTACCTCGTTCCCTTTCCTTTCATAGAAACAGCTAGCTACTATGGTACATTTCTTCCTCTACCTCGTACCCTTTCCTTTCATAGAAACAGCTAGCTATACTAATATATTACATTTCTACCTCGTTCCTTTTCCTTCATAGAAATAGCTAGCTACTATGATACATTTCTTCCTCTACCTCGTTCCCTTTTCCCCCCTTCATAGAAACAGATAGCTACTATGATACATTTCTTCCTCTACCTCGTTCCCTTTCCTTCATAGAAACAGCTAGCTACTATGATACATTTCTTTCTACCTCGTTTCTTTCCTTTCATAGAAACAGCTAGCTACTAATGTACATTTCTTCTACCTCGTTCCCTTTCCTTTCATAGAAATAGCTAGCTACTATGGTACATTTCTTCCTCTACCTCGTTCCCTTTCCCTTCATAGAAACAGATAGCTACTATGATACATTTCTTCCTCTACCTCGTTCCCTTTCCCTTCATAGAAACAGCTAGCTACTATGACATTTCTTTCTACCTCGTTCCCTTTCTTTTCATAGAAACAGCTAGCTTTATATACATTTCTTCTACCTCGTTCCCTTTCCTTTCATAGAAAAGCTAGCTATGATACATACTTCCTCTAATATTTTCTTCCTCTTTCGTTTCCTTCATAGAAACAGCTAGCTACTATGGTACATTTCTTCCTCTACCTCGTTCCCTTTCCTTTCATAGAAAACAGCTAGCTACTATGATACATTTCTTCCTCTACCTCGTTCCCTTTCCCTTCATAGAAATAGCTAGCTACTATGGTACATTTCTTCCTCTACCTCGTTCCCTTTCCCTTCATAGAAACAGCTAGCTACTAATGTAAATTTCTTCTACCTCGTTCTTTTTCCTTTCGTAGAAACAGCTAGCTACTATGGTACATTTTCTTCCTCTACCTCGTTCCCTTTCCCTTTCATTTCATCCGTTCCCTTTCCTTTCAGCTCCTTTCCCTACCTCGTTCCATTTCAATAGAAACAGCTAGATACTATGATACATTTCTTCCTCTACCTCTTTCCCTTTTCATAGAAACAGCTAGCTACTAATGTACATTTTCCTCTACCTCGTTCCCTTTCCTTCATAGAAACAGCTAGCTACTATGATACATTTTCTTCTCTACCTCGTTCCCTTTCCTTTCATAGAAACAGCTAGCTACTATGGTACATTTCTTCCTCTACCTCGTTCCCTTTTCCCTTCATAGAAACAGCTAGCTAGCTATGGTACATTTCTTTCTTCTTGTTCCCATTCCTTTACCTTTCCCTTTCCTTCATAGAAACAGCTAGCTACATTATGATACATTTCTTCCTCTACCTCGTTCCCTTTTCCTTTCATAGAAACAGCTAGCTACTAATGATACATTTCTTTCTACCTCGTTCCCTTTTCCTTTCATAGAAATAGCTAGCTACTATGGTACATTTCTTCCTTTCTACCGTTCCTTTCCTTTCTTTAAAACAGCTAGCTACTATGGTACATTTCTTCCTCTACCTCGTTCCTTTCCTTCATAGAAACAGCTTGCTACTATGGTACATTTCTTCCTCTACCTCGTTCCCTTTTCCCTTTTCATAGAAACAGCTAGCTACTATGATACATTTCTTCCCCTCTACCTCGTTCCCTTTCCTTTCATAGAAACAGCTAGCTACTATAATACATTTCTTCCTCTACCTCGTTCCCTTTCCCTTCATAGAAACAGCTAGCTACTATGGTACATTTCTTCCTCTACCTCGTTCCCTTTCCCTTCATAGAAACAGCTAGCTACTATGGTACATTTCTTCCTCTACCTCGTTCCCTTTCCCTTCATAGAAACAGCTAGCTACTAATGTACATTTCTTCTCTACCTCGTTCCCTTTCCTTTCATAGAAACAGCTAGCTACTAAAAACTAGTACCCCTTACCTTTACTATAGGCTACATTACATTTATTCTACCTCGTTCCCTTTCCTTTCATAGAAATAGCTACCTACTATAATACATTTCTTCCTCTACCTGTTCCTTTTCCCTTCATAGAAAACAGCTAGCTACTATGGTACATTTCTTCCCTCTACCTCGTTCCCTTTCCCTTCATAGAAACAGCTAGCTACTATGGTACATTTCTTCCTCTACCTCGTTCCCTTTCCTTTCATAGAAACAGCTAGCTACTATGGTAAATTTCTTCTCTACCCCGTTCCCTTTTCCTTTTCATAGAAACAGCTAGCTACTAATGTACATTCTTCTTCTACCTCGTTCCCTTTCCCTTCATAGAAAACAGCTAGCTACTATGGTACATTTTTCCTCTACCACGTTCCTTTTCCCTTCATAGAAACAGCTAGCTACTATAGTACATTTCTTCCTCTACCTCGTTCCATTTCCTTTCATAGAAACAGCTAGCTACTATGATACATTTCTTCCTCTACCTCGTTCTCTTTCCTTTCATAGAAACAGCTAGCTACTAATATATATTTCTTCTACCTCGTTCCCCTTTCCTTTCATAGAAATAGCTAGCTACTATACATATCTTCCTCGTTCCTTTTCCCTTCATAGAAACAGCAACCTACTATGGTACAATTCTTCCTCTACCTCGTTCCCTTTCCCTTCATAGAAACAGCTAGCTACTATGATACATTTCTTCCTCTACCTCGTACCCTTTCCTTTCATAGAAACAGCAACCTACTATGGTACACTTCTTCCTCTACCTCGTTCTCTTTCCCTTCATAGAAAAAGCTAGCTACTATGGTACATTTCTTCAACTACCTCGTTCCCTTTCCTTTCATAGAAATAGCTAGCTACTATGGTACATTTCTTCCTCTACCTCGTTCCCTTTCCCTTCATAGAAACAGCTAGCTACTATGGTACATTTTTTCCTCTACCACGTTCCCTTTCCCTTCATAGAAACAGATAGCTACTATGATACATTTCTTCCTCTACCTCGTTCCATTTCCCTTCATAGAAACAGCTAGCTACTATGATATATTTCTTCCTCTACCTCGTTCCCTTTCCTTTCATAGAAACAGCTAGCTACTAATATATATTTCTTCTACCTCGTTCCCTTTCCTTTCATAGAAATAGCTAGCTACTATGATACATATCTTCCTCTACCTCGTTCCTTTTCCCTTCATAGAAACAGCAACCTACTATGGTACATTTCTTCCTCTACCTCGTTCCCTTTCCCTTCATAGAAACAGCTAGCTACTATGATACATTTCTTCCTCTAACTCGTTCCCTTTCCTTTCATAGAAACAGCTAGCTACTGGTACATATCTATATTTCTTTCTACCTCGTTCCCTTTCCCTTCATAGAAATAGCTAGCTACTATGGTAAATTTCTTCCTCTACCTCTTTCCCCTTTCCTTTCTAGAAACAGCTAGCTACCATTTTTTTTCTACCTCGTAACCCTTTCCTTCATAGAAACCTTTCCTTTCTAGCTACTATGGTACATTTCATTTCCTCTACCTCGTTCCCTTTCCTTTCATAGAAACAGCTAGCTACTATGATACATTTCTTCCTCTACCATTTCTTAGAAACAGCTAGCTCTATGATACATTTCTTCCCCTTTCCCTTTTCCTTCATAGAAACAGCTAGCTACTATGGTATTTCTTCCTCTACCTTTCTTCTTTCATAGAAATAGCTAGCTACTATGATCATATCTTTCCCTTTCCTTTCCTTTCATAGAAACAGCTAGCTACTATGGTACATTTCTTCCTCTACCTCGTTCCTTTTCCCTTCATAAAACAGCTAGCTACTATATGTACATTTCTTCCTCTACCTCGTTCCCTTTCCTTTCATAGAAACAGCTAGCTACTATACATTTCTTCCTCTACCTGTTCCATTTCTTTTCCTACTATTTCTTCCTCTTCCCTTTCCTTTCATAGAAAACAGCTACTATGGTACATTATTCTACCTCGTTCCTTTTCCTTTCTTACCATTTCTTCCTCTACCTCGTTCCCTTTACTTTCATAGAAACAGCTAGCTACTAATGTACATTTCTTCTACCTCGTTCCCTTTCCTTTCATAGAAATAGCTAGCTACTATGGTACATTTCTTCCTCTACCTCGTTCCCTTTCCCTTCATAGAAACAGCTAGCTACTATGGTACATTTCTTCCTCTACCTCGTTCCCTTTCCTTTCATAGAAACAACTAGCTACTATGATATATTTCTTCTACTCTACCTCCCTTTCCTTTCCCTTCATAAAACAGCTAGCTACTATGGTACATTTCTTCCTCTACCTCGTTCCCTTTCCCTTTCATAAAACAGCTAGCTACTATGATACATTTCTTCCTCTACCTCGTTCCCTTTCCTTTCATAGAAACAGCTAGCTACTAATATACATTTCTTTCTACCTCGTTCCCTTTCCTTTCATAGAAACAGCTAGCTACTATGATACATTTCTTCCTCTACCTCGTTCCTTTCCTTCATAGAAACAGCTAGCTACTATGGTACATTCTTCTTCCTTTCTCACCAAAACACCTACGTTCCCTTTCTTCTTCACCTAGAAACTAGCTAGCTACTATGGTACATTTCTTCCTCTACCTCGTTCCTTTCCCTTCATAGAAACAGCTAGCTACTATGGTACATTTCTTCCTCTACCTCGTTCCCTTTCCTTTCATAGAAACAGCTAGCTACTATGGTACATTTCTTCCTCTACCTCGTTCCCTTTCCCTTCATAGAAATAGCTAGCTACTATGGTACATTTCTTCCTCTACCTCGTTCCCTTTCCCTTCATAGAAACAGCTAGCTACTATGGTACATTTCTTCCTCTACCTCGTTCCCTTTCCTTCATAGAAATAGCTAGCTACTATGGTACATTTCTTTCCTCTACCTCGTTCCTTTCCTTTCATAGAAACAGCTAGCTACTAATGGTACATTTCTTCCTCTACCTCGTTCCCTTTCCTTTCATAAAAACTAGCTACTAATACATATACCTCGTTACATTTTCTTCCCCTACCTCGTTCCCTTTCCCTTCATAGAAACAGCTAGCTACTATGGTACATTTCTTCCTCTACCTATTCCCCTCGTTCCTTTCCTTCATAGAAACAGAAATAGCTACTATGGTACATTTCTTCCTCTACCTTTCCTTTCCTATCATAGAAATAGCTAGCTACTATGGTACATTTCTTCCTCTACCTCGTTCCCTTTCCCTTCATAGAAACAGCTAGCTACTAATGTACATTTCTTCCTCTACCTCGTTCCCTTTCCCTTCATAGAAATAGCTAGCTACTATGGTACATTTCTTCCTCTACCTCGTTCCCTTTCCCTTCATAGAAACAGCTAGCTACTAATGTACATTTCTTCCTCTACCTCGTTCCCCTTTCCTTTCAGAAACAGCTAGCTACTATGGTACATTTCTTCCTCTACCTCGTTCCCTTTCCTTCATAGAAACAGCTAGCTACTATGGTACATTTCTTCCTCTACCTCGTTCCCTTTCCTTCATAGAAACAGCTAGCTACTATGGTACATTTCTTCCTCTACCTCGTTCCCTTTCCCTTCATAGAAACAGCTAGCTATACTATGGTACACCTTTTCCTTTCCTCTACTAATGTCGTTCTACCCTTTCCCTTTTTTTTAGAAACAGCTAGCTACTATGGTCCATTTCTTCTTCTACCTCGTTCCCTTTCCTTCATAGAAACAGCTAGCTACTATGTACATTTCTTCCTCTACCTCGTTCCCTTTCCCTTTCATAGAAACAGCTAGCTACTATGGTACATTTCTTCCTCTACCTCGTTCCTTTCCTTCATAGAAACAGCTAGCTACTATGGTACATTTCTTCCTCTACCTCGTTCCCTTTCCTTTCATAGAAACAGCTACCTACTATGGTACATTTCTTCCTCTACCTCGTTCCCTTTCCCTTCATAGAAATAGCTAGCTACTATGGTACATTTCTTCCTCTACCTCGTTCCCTTTTCCCTTCATAAAACAGCTAGCTACTATGTACATTTCTACATTTCTTCCTCTACCTCGTTCCTTTCCTTTCATAGAAACAGCTAGCTACTATGGTACATTTCTTCCTCTACCTCGTTCCTTTCCCTTCATAGAAACAGCTAGCTACTATGTACATTTCTTCCTCTACCTCGTTCCTTTCCTTTCATAGAAACAGCTAGCTACTATGGTACATTTTCTTACCCGTTCTCCCTTCAACCTACTATGATACATTTCTTCCTTTACCTCTTCATTTCCTTCATAGAAACAGCTAGCTACTATGTACATTTCTTCCTCTACCTCGTTCCCTTTCCTTTCATAGAAACAGCTAGCTACTAATACTTTCTTCTACCTTTCCCTTTCTACTATGATACATTTCTTCCTTACCTTTCCTTTTCCCTTCATAGAAACAGCTAGCTACTATGGTACATTTCTTCCTCTACCTCGTTCCCTTTCCTTCATAGAAACAGCTAGCTACTATGGTACATTTTTTTCCTCTACCTCGTTCCATTCTTCCATTTCTTCTACCTCGTTCCCTTTCCTTTCATAGAAACAACTAGCTACTAGTACATATCTTCCTTTCCTAATTCCCTTTCCCTTCATAGAAACTTTCTTACATTTCTTCCTCTCCTCGTTCTCTTTCCCTTCATAAAACAGCTAGCTACTATGGTACATTTCTTCCTCTACCTCGTTCCCTTTCCCTTCATAGAAACAGCTAGCTACTATGGTACATTTCTTCCTCTACCTCGTTCCTTTCCCTTCATAGAAACAGCTAGCTTACTATGATACATTTCTTCCTCTACCTCGTTCCTTTCCCTTCATAGAAACAGCTAGCTACTAATACATTTTTTCCTCTACCTAGTTCCTTTCCCTTCATAGAAAAAGCTAGCTACTATGGTACATTTCTTCTTCTACCTCGTTCCTTTCCCTTCATAGAAACAGCTAGCTACTATGGTACATTTCTTCCTCTACCTCGTTCCCTTTCCCTTCATAGAAACAGCTAGCTACTATGGTACATTTCTTCTCTACCTCGTTCCTTTCCCTTCATAGAAACAGCTAGCTACTATGGTACATTTTCTTCCTCTACCTCGTTCCTTTCCTTCAGAAAAGCTAGCTACTATGGTACATTTCTTCCTCCCTCTCGTTCCCTTTCGTTTATGCTACCTACTTCATTTCCTCTACCTCGTTCCCTTTCCCTTCATAGAAACAGCTAGCTACTATGGTACATTTCTTCCTCTACCTCGTTCCTTTTCCTTCATAGAAACAGCTAGCTACTATGGTACATTTCTTCCTCTACCTCGTTCCTTTCCCTTCATAGAAACAGCTAGCTACTATGGTACATTTTTTCCTCTACCTTCTCGTTCCTTTCCTTTCCTTTCATAGAAACAGCTAGCTACTATGCTTCCTTTTCCTTCATAAAACAGTTACATTCTTCCTCTACCTCTTTCCTTCCTTTCAGAAACAGCTACCTACTATGGTACATTTCTTCTCTACCTAGTTCCTTTCCTTTCATAGAAACAGTAAATTTCTTTCTAGTTTACTTTATGGTACATTTCTTCCTACCTCGTTCCTTTCCCTTCATAGAAACAGCTAGCTACTATGATACTATGGTACTCTTTCCCTTTCCTTTTCCTCTACCTCGTTCCTTTCCTTTCCTTCATAGAAACAGCTAGCTACTATGGTACATTTCTTCCTCTACCTCGTTCCCTTTCCCTTCATAGAAACAGCTAGCTACTATGATACATTTCTTCCTCTACCTCGTTCCTTTCCTTTTCATAGAAAACAGCTAGCTACTATGATACATTTCTTCCTCTACCTCGTTCCCTTTCCTTTCATAGAAACAGCTACCTACTATGGTACATTTCTTCCTCTACCTCGTTCCTTTCCCTTCATAGAAACAGCTAGCTACTATGGTACATTTCTTCCTCTACCTCATTCCCTTTCCTTTCATAGAAACAGCTAACTAACTACTACTAGTACATTTCTTCCTCTACCTCGTTCCTTTTCCCTTCATAGAAACAGCTAGCTACTATGGTACATTTCTTCCTCTACCTAATTCCCTTTCCCTTCATAAAACAGCTAGCTACTATGGTACATTTTTCTTCCTCTACCTCGTTCATTCCTTTCCTTCATAGAAATAGCTAGCTACTATGGTACATTTCTTCCTCTACCTCTTTTCCTTTCCTTCATAGAAACAGCTAGCTACTATGGTACATTTCTTCCTCTACCTCGTTCCCTTTCCTTTCATAGAAACAGCTAGCTACTAATGTACATTTTTCTACCTTTCCCTTTCCTTTCCTTCATAGAAATAGCCTCTATGATACATTTCTTCCTCTACCGCGTTCCTTTTCCTTCATAGAAACAGTTAGCTACTAATGGTACTTCATTTCTTCTACCTCGTTCCTTTTACCCATTCCTTTCATAAAACAGCTAGCTACATTCTTCCTCTACCTCGTTCCTTTTCCTTTCATAGAAACAGCAACCTATTATATTTTTTTTTCCCTTTACCTCGTTCCCTTTCCCTTCATAAAACTAGCCTCTACTAATGTACATTTCTTCCTCTACCTCGTTCCCTTTACCTTCATAAAACAGCTAGCTACTATAATACATTTCTTCCCTCGTTCCCTTTCCTTTCATAGAAATAGCTAGCTACTAAAGTACATTTTCTTCCTCTACCTCGTTCCCTTTCCCTTCATAGAAAAAACAGCTAGCTACTATTTATATGGTACCATTTCCCTTTCCTTTCTCTAGCTACTAATGTAAATTTCTTCCCATTCCCTTTCCCTTCATGAAATAGCTAGCTACTATGGTACATTTCTTCCTCTACCTCGTTCCTTTCCCTTCATAAAAACAGCTAGCTACTATGTACATTTCTTCCTCTACCTCGTTCCTTTTCCTTTTCATAGAAACAGCTAGCTACTAATGGTACATTTCTTCCTCTACCTCGTTACCCTTTCCCTTTCATAAAAATAGCTAGATACTACTATGGTACATTTTTCTTCTACCTCGTTCCCTTTCCTTTCATAGAAACAGCTAGCTACTATGGTACATTTCTTCCTCTACCTCGTTCCCTTTCCCTTCATAGAAACAGCTAGCTACTATGGTACATTTCTTCCTCTACCTCGTTCCCTTTCCCTTCATAGAAACAGCTAGCTACTATGGTACATTTCTTCCTCTACCTCGTTCATTTCTTCTACCTCGTTCCCTTTCCTTTCATAGAAACAGCTAGCTACTATGATACATTTCTTCCTCTACCTCGTTCCTTTTCCTTCATAGAAACAGCAACCTACTATGGTACATTTCTTCCTCTACCTCTTTCCCTTTCCCTTCATAGAAACAGCTAGCTATGGTACATTTCTTCCTCTACCTCATTCCTTTCCCTTCATAGAAACAGCTACTACTTCTATAGTACATTTCTTTCTACCTACTATGGTTCCCTTTCCATTTTCATAAAATAGCTAGCTACTATGGTACATTTCTTCTATACCTCCTTTCCCTTTCCTTTCATAGAAATAGCTAGCCTCATTTCTTCCTCTTTCCTTTTTCTTCATAGAAACAGCTAGCTACTATGGTACATTTCTTCCTCTACCTCGTTCCCTTTCCTTCATAGAAACAGCTAGCTACTATGATACATTTCTTCCTCTACCTCGTTTCCCTTTCCTTCATAAAACAACTAGCTACTAATGATACATTTCTTCATTCTTTTCCTTTCATAGAAATAGCTACTATGATACGTTCTTCCTTTCCTTTTCCTTTTCCCTTTCCTAACCTTCATGAACATTTCTTCCTCTACCTCGTTCCTTTCCCTTCATAAAACAGCTACACTATTTTCTTCCTCTACCTCGTTCCCTTTCCTTCATAGAAACAGCTAGCTACTATGGTACATTTCTTCCTCTACCTCGTTTCTCTTTCCTTCATAGAAACAGCTAGCTACTATGGTGTGTTTTTTTCCTTCATAGAAACAGCTAGCTACTGGTACATTTCTTTTCCTTCCTTTCCTTTCATAGAAACAGCTAGCTACTATGGTACATTTCTTCCTCTACCTCGTTCCTTTCCCTTTCATAGAAAGCTAGCTACTAATGAACATTTTTCTATCGTTCCATTTCCTTTCATAGAAATAGCTATCTAATGATCATTTCTTCCTACCTCGTTCCTTTCCTTTCATAGAAACAGCTAGCTATGGTACATTTCTTCCTCTACCTATTCCTTTTCCCTTCATAGAAACAGCAACCCTACTATGATACATTTTCTTCCCTCTACCTCGTTCCCTTTCCTTTCATAGAAACAATAACTTACTATGATACATTTCTTCCTCTACCTCGTTCCTTTACTTTCATAGAAAAGCTATCTACTAATGTACATTTCTTCTACCTCGTTCCCTTTCCCTTCATAGAAACAGCTAGCTACTATGGTACATTACTTTCTCTACCTCGTTCCTTTCCCTTCATAGAAATAGCTAGCTACTATGTACATTTTCTTCTACCTCGTACCATTTCTTTCATCCTCTACCTTCATAGAAACAGCTCGCCTTTTTTTCCTTCTCGTAACCTTTCCTTTCATAGAAACAGCTAGCTACTAATGTCCATTTCTTTCTACCTCGTTCCTTTCGTTTCATAGAAATAGCTAGATCTATGGTACATTTCTTCCTCTACCATGTTCCTTTCCTTTCATTCTCCTTGAAACATTTCTTCCTCTACCTCGTTCCCTTTCCTTTCATAGAAATAGCTAGCTACTATAGATACATTTCTTCTCTACCTCGTTCCCTTTCCCTTCATAGAAACAGCTAGCTACTATGGTACATTTTCTTCCTCTACCTCGTTCCCTTTCCTTTCATAAAACAGCTAGCTACTAATGTACATTTCTTCTACCTAATTCCCTTTCCTTTTTCATAGAAACCTTCTTCTACTAATGTACATTTCTTCCTCTACCTCGTTCCCTTTCCTTCATAAAAACAGCTAGCTACTATAATACATTTCTTCCTCTACCTCGTTCCCTTTCCTTTCATAGAAACAGCTAGCTACTATGGTACATTTTCTTCCTCTACCTCGTTCCTTTCCTTCATAAAACAGCTAGCTACTAATGTAATTTCTTCTACCTCGTTCCTTTCCTTTTTTCATAGAAACAGCCTAGCTACTATGGTCCATTTTTCTTCCTCTACCTCGTTCCTTTCCCTTCAGAGAAACAGCAACCTACTATGGTACATTTCTTCCTCTACCTCGTTCCCTTTCCCTTCATAAAACAGCTAGCTACTATGGTACATTTCTTCCTCTACCTCATTCCTTTCCTTTCATAGAACAGCTAGCTACTATGGTACAAACTTCCTCTACCCTCGTTCCTTTTCCTTCATAGAAATAGCTCGCTACTAATGTACATTTCTTCCTCTACCTCGTTCCCTTTCCTTCCTAGAAACAGCTAGCTACTATGGTACATTTCTTCCTCTACCTCATTCCCTTTCCCTTCATAGAAACAGCTCGCTACTAATGTACATTTCTTTCTACCTGTTCACTTTCCTTTCATAGAAATAGCTAGCTACTATGATACATTTCTTCCTCTACCTCGTTCCCTTTCCTTTCATAGAAACAGCTAGCTACTATGATACATTTCTTCCTCTACCTGTTCCCTTTCCTTTCATAGAAACAGCTAGCTACTATGGTACATTTCTTCTACCTATTCCTTTTCCCTTTCCCTTCCTACTAGAAATAGCTAGCTAATTCCACTTTCCATTTTCTTCCTCTACCTCGTTCCCTTTCCCTTCATAGAAATAGCTAGCTACTATGGTACATTTCTTCCTCTACCTTTCCTTTTTATTCTAGAAACAGCTATCCTATACATTTCTTCTTTCTTTTCTTTCCTTCTTCCTTTTCTTACTATCATTTTTTTCTTTTTCCTCCATGTACTATCATGTTCTTTTTTCTTTTCCTCTTTCTGCAATTATAATTTCCTTTTTTTTTCTCCTCTCTTCGTAATTATCATTTTCTTCCTGCCCTTCCTAGCAACTATTTCTTTCTTTTCTTTTCCTGCGTACTCATCATTTATATTCTTCTTTCTCACTTCTTTACCATCATTTTCTTCTATTTTGTTTTCTGTTTTTTTGTTATTAAAAGGTCTGTTTCTTCTAAAGTTTTCTCCATTTTTTTATGTTTAATTTATTTTTCCTAACCTTCTTTATTACCTCTTACCAAAGTGTTTTTTTCTGTCATTCATTGATTTTATACTCCTTCCCTTCCAGTTCAGAATATAATTTTCATTCTATTTCTTTTCTTTCTTATTTTTTCATTTTAATTCCGTTTTTCCCTCTTCCTTGTCGTTCGTCTTTTTTGTTTTAATTTGTTTCATTTATTATGCTTCATCATCTCATATTTACTTAAATTTATCACATCTTTTCTTTTCGTTCTTTCAATTCTCCTTCCGCATTAAATTTCTTTCCTTTTCTGTTTTTTTTCCTTAATTCTATTTCTACTTTTCTTCGTTTCTTTTTCCCTTCATCTTTTGCTTCAATCGTTCTTTTACTTTCTTTCTTTTTTTTTTTTCCTTTCCCTTTTTTCACTTTCTTTCATTTTTTTTTTTATTATTCTTTCTTCGCATTTCTTCTTTTTTTCTTCTTTTTTGGGGTTTTCTTTTTTTTTTGTTTTACTCAGTTTTTATCTTTCTTTCTTTCTTTTGTTTTTCATTCTTTTTTTCTTTCTGCCTTTGTTTCTTCTTTATTCCTTTCTTTCTTTCTTTCTTTTTTTCTTTCTTTCTTTTTTTCTTTCTTTCTCTTTTTTTAATTTTTTTCTTTTTTTCTTTCTTTTTTTCATTTTTTTTCTTTCTTTCTTTCTTTGTTCTTTCTTTTGTTTATTTTTTTCTTTCTTTTCTCTTTGTTTTTTCTTTTTCTTATTTTCCTTTCTTTTCTTTTCTTTTCTTTCTTTCTTTTTTTCTTCTTTTTTCTTTTTTTCTTTCCTTCTCTTTCTTTCATTTTCCTTCTTTTCTTTTTTTTATCTTTTCGTTTTTCATTATTTTGTTTTCCTTTCTTTCCTTCTTTTTCTTTTTATTTCTTTCTTTCTTTCTTTCCTCTTTCTTTCTTTCTTTCTTTCTTTTCTTCTTTTTTCTTTCTTTCCTTTTTCTTTCTTTTTAATTCTTTTCTTTCTTCTTTTTTCTTTTTTTTTTTTTTTTCTTTCTTTTTTTTTTTTGATTCCTAGGTTTTTTTTTTCTTTCTTCTTTTTTCTTTTTTTTCTTCTTTTTTTATTCCGTTTTTTTTTTTTTTTCTTGTCTTTTTGGATTTTTCTTTTTTCTTTTTTTTTTTTTCTTTCTTTTTTTCCTTCTTTTTCTTTTTTTTCTTCTTTTCTTTTTTTTCTTTTTCCTTTCTTTTTCTTTCTTTTTCTTTTCTTTCTTTCTTTTCTTTTCTTTTTTTCTTTTTT